GGTGGATCAGCAGGTTTTCGTGACTATGGGGTTCGCCCCGTGTGCTGTTCACCACAGAAGTGTGTGTAATAAAAAATGACGTATATATATATGTATGAAGTAGAAGCTGTCTAGCACTCTTCCTTTTATGGGAGCATTTTGCGAAGTGCACGGGGAAAGTGAGCAGCAGCAATCCAAAACACTCCGCGATCATTTGAGGCTTTCGGAACCCATTTTCAACCAACTAGAACACGTGCATGGTTCTCGATTTTGGATGATGCTCAATTTTTGCTTAGTATAGTTGTCGGATAGGAAGAACATTATGTGGTTCAACTATGGGGTGACCTGGGGTATAAAAACCGTGAAGCACTAATTTGGTCATGTAAGTTATGTGGACCTTTCTGATTACTGTCCTTGGGAACAATCCAATGGATATTATTGCCTGAAGCAACGTTTGCTCATTTGCATATGTAAATGCATTGCCTTTCAAAAACTGAACGGGGTGCAGTGCATTGCTAAATCATACGATTTTTGTTGATTTTTGCAGCTTTAAATCTTGTGAATGGCAACTGTAGCACCACTCTTCAAGTGGCTACTTCCAAGTGCTATTGTTCATAACTAGTCATTTTCACAGTCATATTCGGAGTAATTTTTTGTTTTCCCGCTATGCCAACTTTTTGAATTCCGTGCATTGTTTCACTGATAACACTCCAAACTCGGAAATCCTCCTGATAGCACGACGTTCAAAGTCCTTAACATTGCAGTTCAACCATCATTCCGCGCTGCTTACCTCAAGTAGTTCTGAAAGTTCGCCCTGGTCACTATCCACGGTGCCGTCCACAGAAGTGATAATACGAGAGGAGCTGCGATCTCCTAAACGCCCCAAGACGACACCTCATTCAGACAACCCGCCGCTGCCATTTTTCATGATTGGGCATTGAGAGAAAGAGTGNACTCCTCGAAAATCTGGGAGGATGAAACTGTTGTCCCCTACACAAGGAGACTAGGTTGTTGCAGCTATTTACAAGGACTGTTGCAAAGTTTGTTGCAATCATAAGGACACGAGTCTGATTCCAATGGCGCCGAAAATGCTATCTTGCGCTTCATTACGCTGATTGAGCCTGCTTCGTGAGAAGCAAGTTCGCGAAGAGGTTGTTCAGTGTGGTATGTATTTCGCACCCTCGATATGCTAGGTAATGCTACAAGATTAGTAGAAGCCTGTTCCTGCAATTCTATTAGGTCATGATACCCTGGAATGGATTTAGAGCTCTTTTACCTCGNTTACCTCGGAAGTCATATAGCAACTGAAAGTGGTGTCGATGAGCAGATCTCTGAACGCATACACAAAACAAAGTTGGCGTTTGCTAATCCGTGACATCTCCGATGCCGGCACGACATATCTCTTTCATTGAAAGGGCGTTTGTATAGCCCGGTGACACGTTGTGAGTTGTTCCGCGGTTGCGGAACTTGGCCTCTCCAAGCAGATCAATCTATGGAGACCCTAGATCGTTCACCACTGCCGGTTTTCACTCTCGCCGTGCATGAACAGATCATGTCCAACAACTATCCGTTGTCTACGCATCATCTCCGGCTTATGGTGGAGCATCACCTTAATGACGATTTGTATTTGGATGGATAAAGTCAGACGACGGGTGTTGGGCTCATACAGTTTTCCATTGAATGAAACTATCTCACTGCACCCTCTGAGGTGAACTGGGACACGTCCTACAAATGCCCGAACAACGTCTGGCTTCCATCGGGACTTCTCGGCTTCCAGATTGGGCTCCCGAGGATTCAGGTTATTGTTGTTGGCTTGAGACACTGAGGAATATGGCATGGAATCGAAATCCGTAGCCTGAATTCATCTTATGTTTCGAACTCCAACTGGAAAGGACAAATAATCAAAAATCCGGGAAACAAAATAATGTCTTGTTCAATTATGTTGTTTAGTAGTTTGAGTTCGTTTGTTTTAATTGTGAAAAGTTCGGCAACCTTTGAACCTGCGCGTGATTGCCGCCTAAGCTTTGGTACATCGTACACTCTATTAGCCTCACCAGAAGGTCGAATCCCACCGATCGTGCCGAACTTTTCACAGTTAAAAAATGGTTCTTTAACCCCCACCCCATCTATCTATCAATCGAATATGTGTAATATATAATAATGCATACTTCGTATAATAAAACCGCATAAACATTCCACGGTCTGTGTGAATCGAATAGAACAGGCTAAATATAATTCGAATAGACTAAACCCAAGCATAATACTCTAAATCGGTGGAGTCGTTTGTTTAATATGTGTAGCGTGTAGCTCAGCAGCGTTTGGTTCAGCGTTTTGCCCGAACATCCATGCTCCCAGTCCCGAATGGCATAGAAAAGTACCCAATGCCTTCGAATCCCATCGAGGACTGAACAGCTGTTGAGTACTTTGTATCGGTCATCTCAGTTCATTTTTAATCGCATAATGAGCGTAGTTTTCGATAGAAGGCAAATCATTTAAAGTCATTTGAATTGAACCAATTTTACCACTGAAAATTGCTAATTTCTTCTTCATGGGTTTGAATTGGACGGGTGTAAAACCAAGGCAACGAATTGAATGATGCAATCGTGTTGGTACATCCGCTTTCTCAGTGTTCTGTTTTCTCTCCTCGGGGGAGGCTCATAACCGTGCGCGATGCAACAGGTTTTTCCATTATTCCGAACCAATGTTCTTGCACTCTGAATGAACGATCCCACTGATTCTACTGCCCTGTGATTGGAATTCGTTGAGGCAATCTTTTTGCGGATGGGATTAGGTAGTGCGTGAACACACAACAAGATAACGACGGGAAATCGGATATTTTAATGAGTTTTTCTTCAAGCTAATTCCAACGCATGTTAATGCAGGCAGATAGATGCTTATTTGAAGCTGGTCGCATCTTGGACACAGCGGCTCACTCTGCACACACCAGATTCCATTTCTCGTGATTTTCAGTGCATCTACACAGAGAAGTGCTCACCCATTGGAATAACGAGTTCATTTATGATCCTCATCGTGGACACAATTTGGAGACGTCTTTCAGAAGTGGGTTAGATGTTTCGCACCATATTCTGCTGTCAGGATGAAACGTGTAAAGTGGGACCACTTACTTGTTCGTAAGCTTGATATTCATAAACACCCCAGATTTGTTGGCTATATTTTTCCGAAGCAACTCCAAGATCTGAAATTTGTTCTAGCATTTCTATGGCTGTCAGAATTCCACGTTGAGTCAGCTTCGTCCGATACGAATGTCTAGAAACTGTCAAACCGGATACAGCAAATCATAGCACGATTACTGACCGACAGGATCGTGAGTGCCAACGATACACACTTCGCTCATTGACCGATAATTAATTCAGTTGCCTGACTGTCACCAAAGCAATACTGAACCCAATTGAGAAGACCGGATTTTCACTGATTATTTCGTTTCACTGTCTTGAAGTGGAACAGCGAGCAAATATTTCAAGCCTGTTGTTTCATGGCATCTGTTGTTCCGAATGTGTTTCGGCTGTAATAGGCTACTGGGCACACTTATTCTCTAACCATTTAAATAAATACTCGTAAATGACTGGTTGAGCTGCTCTGATCTGCTTCCAACGCACCTCTCTCCATCAAAACTGATCAGATAGTCTACTTTGCAGATATTTTCACATCCACAAACTGCTTTCTCAAATTGGCTTGGAAGAAACAGGCTTATTTTCGGACGGCTGCCACTACATGAATTTTTCATTCCTGGTTCGCCCGTTGCCCACTAAATTCGATGACGATGATGATGACCCCTCCCCTGCACTGGTTGTCAGTCAAATCAAACTACAGCGAGATACAGTGAAGCGAATCTCACTGATCGCTGCGAAGCTCACAGTGAACACAAATCAAGTGATCAAGCACAAGGTGGAGAGGGATTGGGGCCTGAGGCGAAGAGAAAGAACGTCTATGGTCAACACACAAAGTACATAATCTAAGTATGCATACATATCTTTTCAAGCATTCTGAACTGATAAGAAGTGATAACATGAACGTCACCGCTGTCGGTTAGTCACCGTTTCCTTCAGTGTCCCCCAACCTGGAAGACGGAGGACACCTATTCTACCTAATCGCTCTATGCACTTCTTCACGCCTCTTTTCCACGTCATCTTTTGACCCCCACGCGGTTTCCTCTAACCTGGAGCCGGTGGTGGCTAAGTGGTTAGGTCACCAACTAGTGACCTGGATGTCTCGGGTTCAAACCGCTCCATCGCCATCCGTCGTCTCTATTTCCGTATTTTCCCCAGGCAGCCTTTGTATGGCCGTAGCCCCCTTCCTGAAAGTTGACTGTATATTTGTATGTTCAATAAATAGAAAAAGGAAGTAAAATACATTTATTTATTTATTTATTTATTAACTGCGAATAAGGCGTGGTGCGGTAAACGATGGCTGGGCATGCTCAATACGTGTACTAACCAGCGAAGCCGGTTAATCCGAATTCGATGGGACAACGAATTCTCCATCGAATCATTACCAAATGCGCAACGCCTTACACGCTCGCTCCATTCAACGCGTGATAAACTACGTATACATC